ATATATATATATATATATATATATCATGATTGGGAATTTTTGAAGGATTCCGCATTTTCTGATTTCCTTAGGTGTCTGAAGCCACTTGTGTTGCAGCCTATTGACGGGTGCGGATGCACGACGGACGAATATTATGTCCGTTTTATCATCTTGTTCGCATTTGGAAGTTCGTACATGGGCCGTTGATTTTGTCACTTTGAGCTTCTGTTCCCAAATACCGGTCTGTTGTCCACTTAGTGCTTGTGTATCAGAAACGAGAAGTAGAGCACCAGTTGACTCAAACGTTTGTCATCATGTCACTGCAACCACAACTAAGGAAAGTAGAAACTACATAAGAGATTAAAAAGAGGTGTCGCGGAATCGAAATGTCTATTCGATACTGTTACCTTCTTTGTGTGGTCATAACGAGTAGCTTGGTCTTAAGTGTCACCCTATCCAAGCAGAAATCTGTGCCTTGCTTACGCACACCCCGAACGAAGCCATGGTATGATACTGTCACACTTAATTACTTAACCAAACAAGCGGCGCAAAAATGTGGCGATTTCGGCTACTTTTAGCTGACGTTTCATCACCACTTAATTGAACAGAAGTGACCGGAAGGACAAGCGCTGAGGAAGTGTTCCTCTTATCATATGGAGGCACCAAGTTCCAACACAATGGCATCATCTACTAATCTGCCATGTAACCGGCTACATTTCAAGTCAAATGCTCTTGAGAACCCAGTGCTAAATAAAATGACACTCTAAGGCGAAGTGTCGCTCACGACCGGATGCGGCGTCGGAGGCCTACGCACACTTAAGTGGGCAATTGATGATCACAGAGAAAAGGTGATCTGGAAAAAGCAAACGGTTCGCTACGGCACCGGTATGCTCGTCACCCAACTCTTACTGGTGGTCAGTGATACTGACCATTCGCTGCTCCCACCTGATGCTGGCAATCCTCCATCTTCCTAAGTACTGCAGGTAAACGACGGTTATTCGGCAAATGTCATCAAAACGCACTACCCCTAAACTGGGACGGATTTCATTAGAGCATTTCAGACCCCCTCCTTACCAGTACGTCGGAATTTGGTTGTCTGTTTCTGAAAGTTCACGCAAGTTTTGCGGGACAGGCGTGGTACCATCCTCCGTGATTTGACCATAAGTGGCAATACCACGGTTGCTTACGGAATAAGATGGCCAATCCAATAGTTTTATCCTTTGTTTGTGTTGAACGTTTTCCAAGATATCCTTGTGGCACAAACATCAAAGTAAGCTCACATTAGATCCACCTGTGTGTGGTGCACCTAAATGAAACAGTAGGTTGGACAGGAACCGATATGCTTCGCGGATGGTTAAGTCCAACGCTAACTTCACTTAGACATAACTTTGGTAGACTGCATGATATTTTTCTAAGGAATCCCTACACTTTGTCGCATGTGCAGGATATGGGGCACTGTGTGGGTCAGTATGTGGTAGTTTTCAACTCCTCTGACCAAGTGGATGCCCATGGTATCAATCGCATTTTTAAAGGACTTGTTCAAGCCGGAGTATGGTGTTCCTTCGACGACTACGACCGTCTTGATCTGTCCATGTTATCGGTGACCGCACAACTTACCGCCGCCGTGTTACAAGCCAAAAGAGACATGAAGCCGACATTCATGTTCCCCGATGGTGATACACTTTCCGTCAACCAAGAATTTGGCATATTCACTACCACGGTAAGCTATCCCTCTATGTTGAGAAGCTAGCCAATATTGTACGAACTGCATCCCTCTATCAGTAGTGAAAATACATGTGTGACGTTAGAGGCTCATATTCAAGTGTAGACGACTTGTAGGTATGTTAGTCCAGCGAGAATATACAACGTACTCAAGTCCATGCGCAGCTCCTATATCCTTGCCTTATTTGATGGAAAACTCACTAATTGAGCATACATGTGAAAACATGGGTAAACTATTGGTCCCGGTCACAATCCCTGTCACCGGTGCATTTTTATGACACTTCTATCCGGAAACTATATAGTGTAGTTCCGAAGCAAAAGTTAGTTCATATTTAAACTAGAAGAATGCACCCAATTCATCAGCACACATGGACTTTGCGGCCGGACATCTACGTTCGTTATAAGGGAATCCTTATTCAGTGATCTTACACTCATGTTAGATAGATACTCCGAGTGAAATCTTTAACCAAGATTCCGCTTACATTCAAAATAGAAGTGGAGTAAGCTGCTCACTCGCTCATCGCCTGGTGGTGAACACTCATCACGTTGTCCTAGTAAACCTCATTGACAACCTGACTAACACCCTTCAGAAGATATGCTCGAAACGAAGCCCTATCATGCTCTTGTGTGAAGCGACCTCTCTGCAAACAAATCATTCACGGAGTTGCATTCTTTCTTTTCCTTCAGAGTCCAAACTATGCAGGAAGAAGACAATTACCAGAAAACGCAAAAGTCTGCTTTCGGGTCATTGCTGTGATGGTTCCAGACCGCCAGACTATCATCCGGGTCAAGCTAGCTGCAAATGGATTTTCAGATCATGCCAGTTTGGCAAGCAGATTCCATCACTTGTATCAAATGTGTGAGGATCAATTGAGCAAGCGGGTAAGCCAGCTTAACAAAGTAACAACTAGCTCATCTGCTTCCATGTGTTGACTAGCACTGATTGTCTCGCTAGTTGAGTGGCAGGGTCTATAAAACGGTCGTCGCCTTTTCGTTGAACATTTTTGCACCGTCTACTATGGATATATCAATTTTGAACATATATTTTAACAGCTTCTTTGGTCAAATTATTTCTAAGGTTAATGAAACCGCCCTACTTTATCAAACACTTGAATACAAATGCTTATATGTTGCGCACAATTCGCGATTTGTTGCCTTTGACCACAAAACTTTAAGCCAACTAAAACCGGTTATGAAAAGATGTTTTAGTAAAACTCGGCCATGTTGGCTGGATGCAAATTCTAAGGATTCTGTTCGTCAATGTGAAATATTCGCTCGAGAATGCGGGGCTGTTCACACGAGTGCCAACAGTTCACTCTTTTCCCTTTTGCTGATCCATCTATAACTATAGCATTTGTAACGTTTTTGAGGATCGCATTTTGAGTAGAATTTCTGGGCGTGTGATGGCTATCTGATTGAGTCAAGATGTGAATAAATTCTACTTCTACCACTCATATCCCCTAATACCCTTTATCATTTTAGTTCATCTACAGTACAATGGACAATGGTTTATTACGGGTAAAAAAGCATCGCTTAACAAGTCCCGTGGGATGGAAATTATTGCGAAAATAAATTGCATAATAAAGTGAAAAGCGTTGTGGTGTACTCACCATAGACTTATGTGGAATAGCGGAGATGTTCGCATATCAAACGTATAAATCCATAAATCCATTGGTTAGGCGTTTGGCAAGAAACCGTTTGGTTACGTTTTGTAGCCCCTGGCTAACAAGTCATAAAATGAAATGTAAGTGACACAATGCATCGTCAACACGTTTCTTAAACATCGCCAGATTGAGAGTAGAGACGACATAATTAGGGAGGGCATTCCAAGGCTCACACACGCGGAGAGAAAAGAAATTTCTACGGCATTCAAGCCGGCTATAATGAATTGTCAGTTTCAGAGGGTGACCTCTTAGTTTAGTGTTGTGGTTCGATTCCAGCAGCGGACGGCAAATGTGGTTTGGGTTCTTCAGAATCTGGTAAACCATTATGAGATCCCCCCGCAAAAGCCGATATCGACTACTGTATATTCTTAGAGATTTCAGTCTAAGCTGATAGGGCAGATGAAAGAGGCCCCTGACATTCTTGGTTGCCCGTCGTTGAGGAGTCTCGAGAGCAAGGAGATCCTGTTTCTGCCACGGCTGCCACGCCTGAATAGCATATTCCACATGCGGGCGCACGTAGGCGTTAAGCATTTGGGGAAATATTGATGGTTCAAACCGACCGAAGGCTCTGCGAAGAAGGCCGAAGTGTTGATTTCCGGTTCTCGTCGCCTTCTCTGCTTGTTTGGAACACCCGAGATCTTCCTGTACCAATACACCAAGGTCCCGCTCATGAGAAACCTTTGCCAAGGTGTGGTCTCCAATCTTGTAGGCGCTCACCAGCTGGTGACGCAGATGCATCACTTTGCACTTAGCCATGTTCAATTGAAGCATGTTACTCTTTGACCATTCGTAAATGCAATCTAGATCATGTTGGAGCAGATCCTGATCTGCCTTGTTACTAATCGCCCGCCATATCTTGACGTCATCGGCGAAAAGCAGGAAGTTTGAGGAGATGACTCTTGCCAGGTCGTTGATAAATACCAGGAATAAACACGGTCCCAGCACTGAACCTTGTGGGACACCACATTCCACCTCAATTGGATTACAAAGTGATCCCCTAACACGTACTTGGAGTTTTCGTTGGTAAAGGAAGTTGCCAATCCAACCAAGTACTGAATCTCCGATTCCGTAACTTTGTAGTCTTTGAAGTAGGATGCGGTGATCAAGGCGGTCGAAAGCTTTGGAGAAGTCCAGATAGATGACGTCGACTCCGACCCCATCATCGGCCACTTCCGTCCAACTACCTCGAGCAATAAGTAGGTTGGTGGTGCATGACCGGTGTTGACGGAAGCCATGCTGTTCCACTACCAAGATGTTGCATTTTTCCAGATAGTCCATCAAAGCCTCAGCGATGACTGCTTCCATCACCTTCGCGAGCACAGGGAGGAGAGTCACTGGACGATAGTTTGCAGGATCGGAACGGCTACCGCCTTTAAAAATAGGGGTTATAATGCCACACTTCCACATAGTGGGGACTCGTTGTTCATCAAAGCACCTTTGGAAGAACTGTGACAGTGGTTCAGCTAGCTTATTAGCCACAGCCTTCAGTGCCTTCGGGCGGATGTTGTCTGCTCCCAGAGAACTATGTTCGCGCAGTGAGAGTAACTTCCTTAGCACAATTGATGGGTTGAAAATAACTTTTGTAAACCAAGGTGTCGGTAATGAGCTTGATATTATGGGACAGGTAGATGTTGCGAGTTCAAAAATTGGGGCGTATTGCAGCCGCAGTGCATTAGCTGCTTCTTCGGCGCTTTGTACTCTACCGCCTGTCGTGAATAGTGGGGGTATTCCATGCTTCACTTTACGAAGCTTATTGACATGCTTATACAGCAGTTTGTTGTATGCCATGAACTTTTTGGCTAGACACTGTTGATACGTTATTTTGTCCTCACGGACAAGTGCGGTGCAATGGTTGCGATGGGTCAGGAAATTTCCCCAAGTCTCTGAGTCTGGGTTAATCTTGTAGGCACGCCATGCTGCATCCCTTATCGCCAGGCATTTGCGAGTCCTACTCCTTATAATTGAAGGCATTTTCGCGGGACGAAGGGGTTTGGTCTCTGTTGCTTTGTTGACGAAGTCGCTGAGCTTATTAACGAACTCTGCTCAAACGTTGTCAAGGGGACTTTTGTTTGAGAATTCCCAAGCAGCTGCGTCGGCGAGTTCTTTCAATACGTGGTAGCGTGTGATTGTATGAGTTAGTTCCGAGTGTTCATATGGATACTCTGCATAACATACTTAGTCAAAAGTTATTACTACGTGGTCACTGGGACCTAATGGACTATCCATCAATAACTTGTCAATCATGAGCTCTTCATTTGTGAGCACAAGGTCCAATATGGACGGTTTGTTTGCTGTCCTGAATCTAGTGGGCGTGGTGACATGATTGTACAAAGGGATATTAGCGATCAGTTCCTTCAAGTCTGCTTTGAACTGCTCACTGGGCGATGCCGAAACCTCCAGATTGTGTAGATTGAAGTCCCCGGAGATGAGAGTGTGGCTGTACCTAGTGCGTGTTACTCTGTTTAGGCCACGGATCAAGCAGGAATCCATTTCCAGAGTGGACGTTGGGGGGCGGTAAACGATAGGTATGAGACATGTATCGTTGTGTCTCAGTCGGAGACGGCCCCAGAGTGAGTCGGTAACGTGTGTTTCCAGGTCCTCAACTATTGTACATTGTAGATCGCTGCGGTATTAGAGTAGGACCCCACCTCCTCTGCTGGGGCGGTCGTTCCGGATGAGTGACATTCCGGCTATCTCAACCTCAGCATCAGTCACCTCTTGATGCAACCAAGTTTCGATAATAGAAATTAGGTCCCAAGCATTCGCAACCTGACGCAGTCGAAGTTCGTTAATTTTACTGAGGAGCCCTTGCGCGTTGGTGTACATACATGAAAGTTTCTCAGATTTAATCAATGTTTCAGAAGTTGTACAACTTATACGTGAAGTTTCACCGACCAGTGAGTGGCCGGCGACTGGATGGGTGGATGAAGCAAATGAGTTTACGCCGACCATTAAAGGGTCGGCGACTAATCGTTTTTTGGATGGGTTGCATACTCTCGAGAAGTATTTGATATATAAGCAGGTATCAGATGCTCCGAATCCCGGTGTTTGCTCGTGCTCTGCTGGGCCCCTCCGGATAGTATGGCTACTCTTGAAACCGTCCCCGAGTCGGGTCCGGCAGCTGGCGTTTTCATTAAGAGTTGTGCATCTACTGAATTGTCATCAAAAGGTGTTGGTGTTCTTGCTGCTTTCAGACGAATTTCCGTTGGCAATCTGCAACGAAATTTGATCCAGTTCGCTAGTAGGGTTTGTGCCATTTGTTCTGGCTGTAACACAAGTTTTAAGAGCCTGGGACCGCATCCTTTATAGTTTGGTGATATGGGGATCCTTGTCAACGAGGTGACCACCACATTTTCGAGAGAAAGAACCTCCCGGATGTAGTGCCATTGCTCGCGGTCATGCATCTGAGCATCGTCGGAAGAGGAGTCAGTAAGCTCAGGAACACCGTGAGCAATCACTGTTTTCTTATCTTGACTTATTCTGTACCTATCTTTGTTGGCGGGATCCCCTGAACGTTCTTTCCACGGGATTTCGGGTAGTATGCGCACTCCACTTGAGTCGTTGCGCAGACGATTCGCGGACAGCAGAACGGCCTCAGTCTCGTCCGCCGAGTTTAGTGTTACTCGAAGTAACCGGGGTTCGCCGTAGTGCAACGCGTTTGGGTGGCGCGAGATTCTTTTTAATGTCGTGGGATTAGCATGGACTCCGATCGACGTACAGATGGAAACCCACTGATTTCGATCGTCCGTCAACTTACCCTTAATTGTATTGGATTTGGATTCGGGGACATTAGTGCATACAATGTTTAGGACACCATGGTTGCGCCTGGTGGCTACTGGTTTCGGATTTCGAGGCTTAGTTTCTGGTGTTTTTGTTGAATTTGTGAACGGCCTTGGTGTGTGCCATCCGTGCTGCGGCAGTTTTGTTTTCTCTAATTCGGGCACAAAGGTTACCGGTGCTCGTTCTGGTGTTTGCTTGGCAGCAACCGATGCGTACGTTGCCGGGCTTTTCACTATGGCTGGTTGACTGTAGCTTACAGTCTCGAGTGTAGTGAAGAGACTACTAGGTGCAGCACACAGTACAGAAGTCGAGGCAGGCGCACTGCAGTCACTGTTTTTACTTATAGGAGGGAGAGAGAATGGAGTGGAAGCTGCTCGAGGCTGAGTCGTTGGGGTTCGGTTGGGACGCCTGGCTCGCTTCTTCGGCCTGACTAGTGAGTTCGGGGTGTTATTTTCACTCACAAGTGCAGGTCCGTTTCCTCCCAAGGGTGTAACTCTGGCGCTCACCAGTTGCTCGACTGCTTCGGTTAGTCTTTCACACCTCTTCAGTAGCACAGATAGACAGCTAACAAATGGAATAGACTCGCATACTTGGCAGAACCAAAACGCGTCTGCCGTGTTGGCTTTCGTGAACGCCTTCCCAAGGCAGGTATTGTGGTATGTTTTCAAACACAGAACAAACCAGACCACTTTTTACGACTTTGGCACATGATTCGCATTTGCTTTTCATACGAGACATGTTCTCAGTAGGGGTAGGGATGGGATGGAGATACTGACGCACCTTTGCGTGGCGATCGGCGCTGGTTCGAGGACAGCAGGTCCAGGCGTGTCCAGGCCAGATGCATCACGCGTTCTTTGGGGTGGATGTGCGTGCTATCGATCCAGACGGTAGAGGGTAGGCCGTGGTGGACGTAGGACTGAGGCAAAGCAAGGTGATTAGGAAAATACTGTCTAATGACGACAGTGGCAGTTCCAAGGACGGATCAAATTGACGACTATCGCTTTGTAGAGCGACTTGAAGGAATGGTAGTAAGCTGATCGGGTGACTCTCAAAAAGATCTTTAAAATAAGACCACAAGAGTTCTTATGTGATGAGAGGAGAAATAAAACATCCGATAAGCTTCAAATACGGTTGACTTCGAAGTTCCAAGAGCACAGTTTGTTGGTGATCCGTGAATGATAGATCCAATAGATGAACAGTGGTAGGAGGAGCTCGCGGAGCCAAATCGAATGATGGTACGTAGGTCTCAGTGAGAATAAATCCAAAGATTTGGAGGCGAATAACGCAGGAGGACAGTTTTTTTGCGACCGCACTGTCGGATCAACACTGCCTAATGTAAAATGCTGAAAACGCAATCATCCGAGCACATAAAGCTTATCTTGCTTTGACTTATATCCTGCGAGAGGTGCCCATTCGTATCCACTGAAACTGAAGTCGACATGCAGCTACGTTTTTTGATAGTTGAGAAGCTAGTACAGGCCAGTGTGAGTGGCATTCAACCGTTAGCGGTAAATTTACCACTGATTCGGAAGATGGATAAAGTGGTTTAACACTGGACTCCAACTAACTACTTGGTTATCCACTCTGTCTCACTGTGACATGCCAACCGAAGTGACTTTTATGAAATTAGTAAGATGGCCAAATCAGTCTCCTGCCTAGGATTTCATCTCGATGTTGCCATGGTTTCACTTCACTTCTCACTATGGAAACCCTTCACTCGCCCTGTACAATGCGTCCAGACACCACACATACCCCGGATTTGAGTCATCCTCCTGCCCCAGGAGCACACATTTCCAGGTTCCTCTCACCCACTCCCTCTGTTTGGCTGAGCCAAGTCAACCCAAGAGCCCAGCCCATCGTGTTCCTCTTCGTACGCTGTACAGTGAACCAATGGTTTAAGGGTTGCGGACCTTATAAAAGAAAGGTCGTAGCCCGCTCGTGGACTGTATTGTGTGACTCTTGATGTACGGTTGCAATTACAAAATGCATTAATTTTGGACATTGTGAGGACCTGCTGTGTCTAAACTGACTGGGTATTGTGGTGGCATGTACATATTGTATCAAGTTAAGTCAGGTCAAAATAAGTTTCATGAAACCTAATGGGTTCAATTTCAGCATTTACCCCACCACTGCAGACATCTGGGTGCTAATATCAATATACATGCTTGGGTAGAAAAGTGGGAAAATAGCAGAACTGTTAATCCAACAAGCGCTCGCGCAGCATGTTAGTGACTTATGCTGTGTCAACAAGAAAACGTGAGAGATAAGACGATACAGTATTACGATACGATGACGTGCAAAAGAATAAAATTCTGAATTTCTGGCGAGTAGAAGAGAAGCAGATGGTTTTGGAAAGATCCATGTGAAGTGGATGAAATCCGTCAGTTAGTACCTTAGAAGAAAAATCATTGCCGGCATCAATATGTCTAGAAATGATCAAATCAACTAAGGAATCTGTAGACAAGCCGCTGCATCTAGAAATGTGCCTTACAGATCGCACCAATAAGATCTAGTCTCTCGGAAGCAGTACAGGGAAAATGACAGGAGAGCAGTGTTTCCACAATGCAGGAACGTGCCGTTCGTCAAGGCAGTGCAGGAACAGTCGCGCCAAAGGTTCAGCCAAAATAGTAGCAGCCACAGCAATCGTCTTTGGGCGGATATTGTCAATTCCAAGACAGGTGTATGGATAGCGGCTTTCTCATCACGATATCTGCCGTAAAATTTATATGAGTGAGTCGGGGTGTGGGTACCATAGATTTCAAAAATTCAGGGGACCTTGGGATGCAACGTAAGGTTGGTGCATATTGGCTGCAGAAAGTTCGTCGCTTCGTTAGGAGTCGGGGTTAGACCATCCACTGTTTGAAGAGGAAGAAATCCACTTTTCACCTTCCGGAGGCTGTTCACGTGCTTGTACAGAAGCTTAGGATTTAAAGTTAATCGCTCGGCTAAAGCATGTTGAGAAGCTACTTTGTCTTTGCGCAATAATTGGGAACTGGATACGGTGGACAACGTATGCTTTCCAGGTACGCGGACTCGGATCGGTTTTGTGGGTTTACTACGTCTCGTCGCGCATTACCATGCGTTTGCGTGTTCTACTCCGTATAAACGACGTTTTGTTACCTGAACTGATAATATTGGTTTCCGACGTTCCACTAAAGACAACGGCAGCCATTTGTTGTAGGTGATTAAATAAATAACTAGGTCATTATCGAATTCCTCGAAACCTGCTCTATTTTAATTTTCTATACTCATCCACAAATCTCTAATTTTTTCATGCCACCACTGTGCGTAAAGTAACGGATATTTTCTTTACGATCGATTGTTTGAAATTAATGAACAAATCACCTTCCAATTCTGATGGTTTCCACTGTTCGTATGTTGGGATAAAACAACCACAATTACAGACACTATCAGCTGCATGTGCATTATTTTTACAACTCTTTATTCCTTACAAAACCCTTGCCCGAATGCAACACTTCTTTCTCTGGAAATTGCTGCACTATCATCGATATTCATCATGATTTCCCATGAACTTAGGATTAGTCTGTCTGAAAAAGTAGCTGTTAATAGTATGTTTTTTAATTCCTCATATTTTACATTCTTCCTTATTTCGTTGTTGCCCACAAATGGGGTGGTCTCTTGGGGTGACGGAGTACAGCTTCCAAGCTAAAATATTATACCCATACAAGACATATTTCCACTGACTCACTGGCATACAACAAAAAGTGCCATACTTGAATGATCATCATGTCGGAAAGGGCTGAGACTTCATCACCTATAATGCATGCATAAGACAGCCCTCAAGAAAAATCATTTATTATACAAGTGATGGCTTACATGCTCTTTTGCTACACCGGCACACAGCCAGTTGGAGCAGGGAAGTGTGGGAGAAACCTCGTCGAGGGAATACCCTGCATGGAATCAGGTCCTCCTTGGGACGGTTCCGTGATTGAACTTTGGCTAAATCTGCATTTGTTGTTCACATTTTTTTGATCACTCTGATACCTTCAGACTGCCAATCACTTCAAAAACCCATCTGGGGTTCGTTATACAAAACAAGCACGATTAACTCTTTTATGCGATCTTGTTGTACAGGTTGATCAAGCCATTCAGTTAGACTGTGCCCCACAACCTCGAGGAATAAGCCGTTTATTTAGTTAGTTATATCCCAAGACATAGTATGGGATCATATATTGTGAACATCCACACAGTTGCTAAATTGTCAGTCAGTGAACGCTTGCATTATTTTTGCCTTAGCTTTAAGCTGCAGTGAGAATTTCCTAAGGAAACACGATTCTCATAACTGTGCTGGTTTCATGGTCGCCAGACTATTGCTTCTTCGTTGCGACGAGTACACTGTAACCATCATTCCATTTTGCAGTGTGTCACTTACTGCCACAATACAGGACTGACTGAAAGGTACGCGTAGACCTTGATGACAGGTGGCACAGCCACTTTCATCAACTGGGGAGAGCTTTCTGACAAAACCAAAAGTTGAGCGTGAAAAGTCCCCAATCGAGAAAGCTTGTGATTCATCTGTTATCTTTACAAGATGAGATCAAATGTGTTCGGAACCGGTCGGCGTTGTGCCGTATTTTCGGGCGAGCGACGTCCAATTGCCATCTGCTTTGACTACGGTCCCAGTGATCGTATTGGCCATGGTTCACTTCAAGGTGAATCCGGTCTACATTGAGCTTGTGCGTCACATTTGAATCACACAACGGGTGCTTCGAAATGGCTCTCCAATCAGTTAGTAACCGTTATGCCAAGCGTCGCCCATCGTGACCCGGTAACCCAAGCGTTACAGGTTTCGGTTACTATTCCAATGATCACGGGTACCAGGCCTGGTATCTCCACCTAATGAGAGCAAATCAGGCCGAAACGCGTCGTGGAGTGCATGGTTTTCGGGCGGTAACGTCTAACATCCATCTGTTTCACCGTCAATTTATTGCTGGCCAAGTATACACATGTAGTTTTTCGTTTTTATCTAGTGCGCTTTACCATCATTTACGCACCAATTAACACATAAAGAATACTTCAGTTGTTCAGTTAAATTCCGTCCCTTACCCAGGTTCACTATGACTTTGGTCTACGGAGCGTGCTTTCAGCACTTCGGAATCTGGGAACCAATCGACGAACTCACAAGGATCAATCCGAAGAGCAAATTATGATGCGTGTGTTGCGTGACATGAATTTGGACAAACTTGTTGGGCAAGATGAAGCATTGTTTTTGGCTCTGCTGGAACAAATGTTTCCCGGGGGGACGTTCGACACAGCAAAATCGGAGTCAGACATCGGATGCATTCTTCGCAGTCAGGTGATTCAGGCAGGTCTTACTCCACACGAACCATGGTTAGCCAAAGTACAAAATGTGAGTTGATCTTGAGCGTAGTGTTTCCCAACTGCGCCTCCAAACTTCATTTATGCTTTTCTAACGATACGTTTTTTCTAACATTCATCCTTACACGTAGCGTTAAACTATCCGAAGCAGTCGATCTGGCGGTTTTCTGTAGTCCATCAGCTAGGATGTGTCCTAGATATCATAATTGAAGAGTATGCAACTAGGTGCTCCTTAAAATGCACTACACAAACTTTCTAGTCTCCCTCACGAAGAAGTGGTTGTAACCTATGGAGAAACTTGCAAATGCAACGCATGCAATACTGTTTCATAGGAAGGCCATTTGCGACCAACGGGTTATTTGTGTATATGAACTACACTCTCGCCCTTACTTTCTTTCGAAAACTCAAGATTGTTGGAACAACCTAAAAGCGCTTGCAAACGACTCGCGTGGTACGCCATTTGAAGATCTGCTTATACAGTTGTGTTGTTTTCTCGAGACAGCCAAACACTTTGCATTGGCCGCAATCACACACTGTATCAGTCCAAAGTCCGTTTTTCAGTCTTCTAGCCACGCACATGAACTCCAAACCATTTGATTTCTGCTGGCGATTAAGCACAGGCAATGCGCATGTGGCACACAATACACGCGTTCTAACTTGGTTTCACTGCCCACCAGCAGCGAATCGGCTCTCTGGTACTCCGCTGTGCTTCAAGTATGGTACAGCTGTCCCTCGGAGCGCGTTTCTCCTTCCATCCACTTCGTGACCCAGAACTTGACGACTAGGCTATTGTGAGGGTACACAACCGGCAGTTGTTAGGCTGATCAATCAATAACTGTACAATGCTGCGGCAGTTATTGCTACTGTCCTGTTGACACACTGATCGCGGTGCTCTGCTTGATCGTAGGTACTCATCACGTTCTAACGGCGATCTACTGTACCGTTTGAGCGCCGCGATGGCGGAAGCATGCCTGGATGGATACCAGGGTTTCTACTCTGAGCACGACTACAAATAATGGGAATTCTGCTTCTACTCAAGCTACGGTTCAGTTAGCGAAATTCATGGCTTCAGCAAGCCTCGAAACAACATGGGAGCAAGTAAAAGGTTTGAAAAATCAAGCTGCACTTACCCCAATGGGTTGTTCTATTTATCCAACTCTACCTGGGACACTACTGAAACAATACTGCAAACAAATGTAGATGAGGTCATTACTATTGGGAGTGTTGGTAATTCTTGAATAACCCGCTTACATTTGTATCTCCGCTTGTTCTTCTAGTTGGAGGACGATATGATTGGACATAAGTAATTGTGAGAACATGTTATGGCTAACACACATGGCTTTCAAACGAAATGGGCAGCAGCCACTCGTCAATTGAGACTAGTATACTCTGGTTTGCCGCTTCTGTCTAAGTGGGCGATAACGGATGCAGGTCTCTGAACAACAATCACAACCGCAACCGCAGCCGCAGCAACAACAACAACAACAACAACAACGACACTAGTTGTGGTCCGTCATTCTTCATTTCATAGCACCATTCTTGTTTGTCATTGTTAATACGAAACCGATTCTAGAGGGAAGTATTGGGAGCAGCACCAATTCTCTTTTATCCAGATGCATTCCGTACTACCGAATATTGGAACTAGCAAACACCGAAATTGCTTTCACTTGTGTTAGCAGTAACTTGCTTATAGTATCGGGTAAAGAGCCGAACACTGGAAGGAACTGCAAAATTCTGGAGCCTATAATCGAGTTGCACTGTCCTCTGATGACAGGTTAAAACTCACAACGAGCTCCTATGATATTTAGGAAACATGGATGAACTACGTTATCCAGTAGATAGAAGTCACCTTAACCGGTTTGTCGCTATTAAGGAAGTTTAAGTCAAAGCAGTGAGACAGTTGGAATTCCGGTTCCAAAACTTACCCAGCTAACCAAGAAACTCGAGTCACTGATTCACTTTGGTGATGCGTTTAGTTAACTTACATTGATGTGTACCTCACTGCCGCAGCCAATCGTCGAAGAAAACTGCCTGCTATAAGCTGAAGTTAGATTTTGTGTTGGATTTTGTGTTGGAGGAAGCACACAGTAACCTGCTCATCTGAGATCTACTAATGGTCCACACTCGGGGATCCCACGCAGCCCCTCGTTGGCAGTTGAATTCTAATTTAGAACAGATTGTTCGTGTCCCCCCCCTCTTATTCGATCAAGTTAGCATTCTTAATTCATGTGTTTATTAACAACTGAGGCGTGGTCTAAGTGATAATTCCAAACAATCTCTTGTGTAAACGACAAAGAGCTTGTAAATTTTGAGAGAAGGCATTTTCACGGGAATCTGAACAACAAAGCCGGTTTTGGTTAATTATACAATTTGCAAACAATTACAGACACCAAACGTACAGCGTTATCAGTACAAGCGTAGCGGCAGCTTTAGTTCACTCCAACTAGTCAACAAGTATAATCTCAAGTCACACGTATGTAATAACTAGTGACCTCTCCGCTGCATATAGTGGGCATTGAAGTAAGCTAATTGATCAGTCAAAAGAATGATGTGTAGATTCGTCGGCGTTAGTGTCTACATGTTACGCACAGTAATGATCTGGCATTGTAACAGTACTAGTACAAGGCGGGCCTTTAAACTGGTCGTTGCCGTTCCCCCCCCCCAAACAACGGGTTTGCACGTTTGTATACTTAGTTGCCGGTGTTTAGTTGAAGAAGTTGTAAGGTCACTGAGACCGTTTACCTCCGCCGATTCATTGCAAAATTCGCACAGACGCTGCGCATAACTCGCATTTTCTACCTTCGTCAAAATGAAATCAGATGCTAAGAAATATTCTATCAAAGTTAGTCTCGTCAACCGGATGAAAACCCTCATAATTCTCTCCATCAACATGCAGTCTGCTTGTAGACGATAGACCATTCACTCGAGTGACATCTATACACCCATTCCACAGTTTGTTCTACCATTTGTACAATTTATCATATTTAATGATGCCTTAGATTTTTGCAGTCCATAGTGCAAACAGATGAAAACGCGCACATTCGGGCACATAAAGCATATCCTGCCTTGGTTTGATAAGGGGGATGAAAACACACAATGAAGCGCACAAAATTATTGGTTTCCAAGGCTGACCTCCATCCACATTAACAATGCAATAGTATGACGTCACTAGCAATGTGACATGAGCCATACTAAGGCGCAATTGGCTAACAAACCCGGTCCATACATCGGTGTCAAAAAGGGCGCAAGTGAATGGAGCTTGAAACAGTCCAGAACACCAATAAGGCAACATGAGGTACCATTTATAGCAAGGGGTTCCCAACCTGCGGGTTATTATCCCCAAAGGGGTAAAATGGCAGTATACAGGGGTAAATTTTAGTACGAAGATTGGGTCGTCAATCAGTCGCAAAACAAGCTGAATAACAAATCCATCGCTGACTACCTATGCACTTTAGACATCAGTGACCAGTCATTAGTCACTGCAAATGAATAACTCCTCTGTCGACTCCCGCATCTATCGTTGTTCTTTAGAGTCAGGCAGTCGTTCGCCAGGTCGAATTATGGAGTCGAGTGTAAACTAGCAGTGCAGCATTTATCAAACGACCAGGTAAGGTAGCGCGCGATTGTTTATAAGTTAGAAGGGTCAAAACGAGCGATTGGTGTTCAAGTCGTATCGATACAGGGTGGTGGTAGGAAGCAATCATGCAGGAATAACTTTGAATGGAGGAATGCAACACATGAGAATCCGCTGAGATCTGTTCGTTTGATCAGGAATCACACACGAAAGTGCATAATCTGTCTTGAATGGTAACAGTAGGGGGTTGAAAGTGCACAGAAACACTGCGTTTGGGGTCAGAACCAAGGCAGAAACAGCATGTTGGACGCCATTGATCATTATGTGTTGGGTAGGTCACATTCATCTACAGTTGATTTTAATGAAAGCCGTAGCAGGTTAGTGATTTAAATCAATGATTTTGATATCGATAATAATGAGTTTATCTGCAAAAGTTGAGCACAATGTCACCTACATTAAATCACGAATATATATATATATATATATATTATATATATAAGGCCTAGCTACTTCAAATTGCTGGATCCATTACTTCGGGAATAAAGCAGTCTTACAAAGGAGCTTTTCTGCAATGGGGCTTCATCAATTTTGTCGATAATATTGTTGAGTAGCCGCAATGTGTTTTGTGCAGGAAACTGGTCGCGGCGGACAGCATGAAATCCAGTACATTGAATGATCACTTCGAAAGAAGTCCTTCTCAGTTAGCAGGAAAATATATTACCTTCTTCAAACGGAAAGAAGTTGCGCTAAAATGTTCGCGTTTGGATACATTGGGCTATTTTTTAGTCAAACGAAGCTGGTTTTGAAACTTCGTACCGCATCGCTCTTTGAATCGCCAAAAACAAAAAACCGCATACTGTAGGAGAGAACCTCATCAAACCTTGTATAATGCATGCCGTGAAACTCGTTCTTGGAGAGCAACGTGCAGAAAACATAAGTGTGATATCACTTTCTAACAAAGCCATCAAAATTCCTATCGAGGACATGAGCAAAAATATTTTGCACCCGGTGCTCAAGGAGATAAAGTCGCCGTTTCTTTGTAATACAGTTAGATGTGTCGGCCGACGTCGCATCTTGTTCCCAGCTACTTGCCTATAGTCGCTACCTAAAAGGCGGTGGCTTCAAAGAGGTGCACTTGTTCACAGCATTATTGAGCACAACTACAGGTGACGAACATGTTTTCCGAAAAATGAAGGATTTCGTCGTGGAAAAGGACCTACACTACTCGAGGTTGATGGGTGTATGTACAGAGGGAGCACCATCCATGTTGGGCGTCCGCTCTAGATTCCAAATTTTGGTCAAAAAATTTGTTCCGAACTGTACCTTCAGCCACTGCATCCTCCATCGTTATGCTTTAGCAGTGAAAACTCTTCCAGCAGCTTTGTTGGATGCGTTAACCGTGGTAGTAAACATAGTAAATCTGATAAGGCTTTCATCCCAACAGTTCACAAGCTACA